CTTTTTGCTTTTTTGGTTTTGAGAGTGTCAGCCGTGTTAGTCTGTATCCGCAAAAAGAACAGGAGTACTTGTGGCACCTTAGAGACTAACAAATTTATTAGAGCATAAGTTTTCGTGGACTACAGCCCACTTCTTCATATCGGAAGAAGTGGGCGGTAGTCCACGAAAACTTATGCTCTAATAAATTTGTTAGTCTCTAAGGTGCCACAAGTACTCCTGTTCTTTTTGCGGATACAGACTAACACGGCTGCTACTCTGAAACCTAACAAAGTAAGAAGAGTCCACCCAAAAAAAAAAGAAGGAAGATGCAATTGAAGGAAAATCAAAGCCAGGTCCCAGGCTGAAAGTCTGCAATTGACGGGTGATCAATCACACCGACTCCAGAAGCAGCATGACACAGCAAGTCCTATAGAGTCTGGATTCAGACTAAAAGCCTATGAAAAAGATGGGTGAGATAGAAGTGTGTGTGTGTGTGTGTGTGTGTGTGTGTGTATTAGTTAGTGGTTCTAGATCAAATCGTTATCATAATAAACGTGGCATCTTTGCCTTGTCCCCTGAAATGATCCTGTGTAGTTTTGTCTGCATAACAACTGCCTACACCCTGACCTGGACTCCGTGGTGACGAGGGGGCTGCGAGCCCAGCCTGTCTGCAACGAGACCCAGGGGGGAACCAAGAGCTCCCGAGAGGGGGCGGAGTGCAGCCACGCGCTGTGAGGAACCAGAGAGGCAGCCGCCCCACTGCAGCTCCAGCATGCAGTGCCCCACCCCTTGGAGCTGAGCATGGGGCAGGTGGGACCAGCACACCCAGCCCTCCCAGTAGAGAGACAGCTGGCTTTAGTGCTGCAGCCCGGGTGCAGTACTGCAGAAGGCCAGGCGGTGGCGCTGCAGGCTCACAGCTGGAGAAGGCTGGCTGGCTGAGATGGGTCCCAGATGCCACACGCCGAGCTCGTCAAACCGCACTGGCTGGCTAAGTGCCCAGTCCCGTGGCCTCGCCAAGGGGAGATGCCCAACAGGACTCTGGCCGGGGCACCCAGCCTGGTGGGAGGGAGGCAGGTTCACCCCCCCACGTAACTGGTGCTAGGAGCGGCTTGGCTAGCGCCAGGCAGGGGCTGCGTCCACATGGCCCCCCGGGCTTGCTCCCTGGGAGCGGCTGCTGCAGAGGAAGCACAGCCAGTGCATGGGCAACCTGGGAGGCGCCCAGGGCTGGTTATGGGGCACGTGAAGAGGTTCCCCAAGGACCCAGAAGACTGAAGGCCCCCTTCAGCCCCCCAAATAGAGGGAGGGAGCCCAACAAGCATGGGTCTCTGGGCTGTCAAAAAGGGGCAAGGAACCCTACCTCCGCCACAGTGCGCAGCATCCTGGCCTTAGGAAACCTGCCCATCCCAGGCTCACCCCTGGCACCCTGCTGCCCCCCACCCGGCTTGGGAAGTGGGAACCCTCTAGCCAGGGCAGTGTGCCAGGGAAGGAAGCAAAGGTGGTGGGTGGGTGGCAAGCAGCAGGCACCAGTCCCTACCCCCATGGCCTTCCCAGGAGTCAGTCCCAGCTGGACCCATTGCTTCCCTGTTGGGGCTGGACGCAGGGGCATCGAGTGGATGAGGCCCAGACACATTTCAACACACCCCGCCCAGGGGCACCAGCTCTGTGCCTGGGGCAGGGGCCGGTGGAAGCAATGCTGGAGAGAGAAGCAGGAGGAAGAGAGGCCTCAGGTGAGGGGGAGGGGTGAATGGAGGAGGACTCTCTCAGTCGGCGGGGGGAGGGGCTGGGGTGCCCCCAGAGAGATGTGCCCCCCTCCAGAGCAAGCCCAGCTCCTGCTCTGCCCTGGGGTGCCCCCTCCGCCTCCTCTCTCCCTCCCCGCTGCCCACCTGCAGGTGCACGTAGTCGTAGTCTTCCATCCAGCCGCTTTCACTGTTCTCGTACGGCCCGTCGGGCGAGTCCTGCGCCAGGAACTTGGGTGGGGAGGGCAGGGGCCGTGACTGGATGCTACTGGCCTTGTCGGCGGGCACCGGCGGGAGGTGGCTGGCAAGGAGCAGACTAGTGTCCGGGCCGTCCGCCGGCAGCTTACCCCGTCTGAAAAGCAGGGAGGCGTTGCCGTGCAGGAAGGATGCCAGCTGCTTGGTGTCGTCAGGGATGCCCCGTGAATACATCACCAGGCGGTCCAGGTCGTCGGTGCCGCCCGGCTTGCCGGCCGCCAGGGCACCAGGGGCCCAGCCACAGCCATCCAGCGCCTGGCTGTGCCGCAGCAGGGCCTGATACACGTCCTCCATCTTCTGCAGCTGCTTGCTAAGCTTGGTGTGCAGGGCGCGGTCGGAGGCCTGGGCCGCGTTGCCCACGGCCCCGCGGGCGAACTCCAGCAGGTCCCGCAGCGCCCCCTTGATGCCCTCGGCCGCCGCCCGGAGGCTGGGCGCATGTTGCTCCAGCTGCTCCGGGCTGCGCCAGCCAGTGCTGATGAAGGACATGAGGTAGGAGACGGAACCGCTGATGTGGTGCTGCAGCCGGGCCAACAGCTCCATGGCCGCGTCCAGGTCCAGGCCCAGGCCCAGCTCCTTGGGCGCATCCTTGCCCGGCCCCACGTCCAGCGAGGAGCTGGAGACGTTGCTGCGGGTGCTGCCCGTGCTGGAGGCTGAGAGGCGCTTGGCATCGCCAGCCCTGGCCTCCCGGTCCACCTGCGGCGGCACGTCATAGATATACTCGCCCTCAGCATCCAGGCTGCCAGCGTGCAGCTCCCGGGGCACATCGTACACATCCTGCGCGGGCCCCACCAGCTTCCGCAGGCCGGGCAGCACGTCATAGATCTCCTGTGGGAAGGGGGCCTCGGGGGCGCCCTTCCCCGCCGCCGGTGGCACGTCGTACACGTCCTCGGGCAGGGCCGGCTCCGCTGGGTGCCGGGGCAGGTCCAGCGCCTTTGGCTTGGCAAAGGCAGGGGGCACGTCATAGGTCTCCTCTTGGAAGGGGCCGTCCGGGACGTCCTTGCTCACGGATGGGGGGACGTCATACACCTGGGGGGAGACAGCAGCTGTGAGCACCCGGCCCTGCCCGTTCCCCTTCCTGCATATAATGCCCGGCCCTGCCCACACCCCAGCCCCTTCCTCCACCTGCTCCTGGCCCTGCCCGCCCCACTTCCTATTGCCTGTGCCCGGCCCTGCCCGTGCCCCTTCCTGCATATAACACCTGGCCCTGCCCACGCCCCTTCCTACCATCCATGCCCGGCCCTGCCTGCTCTCCTTCGTGTCTGAGCAGACACTGTGGGGGAGCCCCAATGGGTCAGAAAACTGCCCAATATTGATTATTTTTCAAAGTCTGGTGGCTTTGAAGCTGCTCTGGTGGTTGTGGGGCCCGTCTGGTGCTTCTTGGAGGCTGGGACCTGCCCCCAGTTCCCGCTGAGCCCCCTGCTCTAGCAATCCCAGGCACCCACCCCTGCTTGCCTATGGCACCGTCTGAGCTCTCCAATGCTGCGCTGACCCCACCTGGGAGCTCGGCTGGAGGAAATCCTGCTCTGCGCCCCGCCTTCTGCCGGATGGGGGCTGCCATGGGGTCACTGCGCTGCAGAACCAGCCAAGACTTAGTGCTGGGACATGCCAGGGAGTGCAGGCTTGGATACCAGCCCTGGGGCAGGCAAAGGAATTCCCATGCCCCCCTGCCCGCATTTCCTGCCCCCCCCGGCACCACTCACAGTTTGGGGAGCCTGGTGCAGGGCCTTCTCCACGCTGGGGGGCACGTCGTAGATCTCCTGGCCGGGCTCCCGGCCGGTGGGGCCCTTCACTGCCATTGGGGGGGTGTCATAGACCTGCGAGCGCAGCGAGCAATGGCATTGGTTCCAGCGGCTAGCACATGCCCAGGCACCTGCCCGTAGCCATGTCGATCCCTAGGGATACTAGGACGGCCAAGCCCCACTGCCCTGAGCTCAGGAGCCTGACTGACAGTGGCCAGGAAGGAAGGTGCATGAACCCCACAACAGAGAGATGGGGTGGAGGGGGTCATCTGTCCCCCACATCACTCTCATCCTATAGATGGCCTCCAGTTGAGCCTAATTGGTTAGTATCCCTTCTGCCTTTGCTAGCACTAACCACGAATCTCTTTGAAGCTTGCTACAATCTGGGTCATAGAATATCAGGGTTGGAAGGGACCTCAGGAGGTCATCTAGTCCAACCCCCTGCTCAAAGCAGGACCAATCCCTAGACAGATTTTTACCCCAGATCCCTAAGTGGCCCCCTCAAGGATTGAACTCACAACCCTGGGTTTAGCAGGCCAATGCTCAGTGGTTTGAGCTATCCCTCCCTCCCCTGGACACTTCATGTAGTAGGGAGTTCCACAGGCTAATCATACTGGAATCTGCCCTCTTTTCAGCATCATTGGGCATCCCTTGTTCTCGCACTGGAGACTGTCCCTCAGACCAAAGCCGGGAGGAGAGAGACCCTGCCCATCACCCCCTGCTGGACGAGCAAGGAGACAAGATCCAGAGTACCCCAGAAGAAGCTCTTTCCCCTGACCCAGATGGAAAGGAGAGCACCTATGGGATGAGGGAGTGGGAGGGGCAGCTAGCTAGCCATACCAGGCCACACACACACAGGCCTCTTAGCTGGCCCACCTGCTGGCGCAGGGCCTCACCTCCTGGCTGTACTGGCTGGAAAGCATGCCCCGGATGGGGGGCACGTCGTAGATCTCCTGGGGCCCGGAGGCGAGGAGGTGCCGTGGGATGTCATACTCGTCCTGCTCGCCTTTGGGTGAGTCGTAGATGTAGACCTGCCCCACGCGGGTGGGCACCACTACCTGGAAGAGAGAACGGGGTAGGTAAGCAGGGCGCTGCCTTGCGATACAGGTGCCCCCCGTCCCGAGGGGGAGCAGGGCGCTGCCACATGGCACAGGCGCTATGGCCGGGGGGGATGGGGGAGGGGGAGAGCAGAGTCTCCCCCGGTATGAGTGGGCGGCAGCTGTGGGGAGCAGAGAAGAGAAATTGTCGGGGGTCTCAGCAGTTCCTGCTTAGGCACTGAATGGGGGGGGGGGCAGTGCCCGGAGTAAGTGCCCCATCCCAACTACAGACTGATGGGAACGCCGGGTGTCGCCCGTTCACATTGGTGTTCTGCAGCCAGCTCTGCCTCCTGAACCTCTCCCCCTCCCTGTCCTGCTCGCAGCAATGCCAGAGCCCACAGCTGAGCTCCCTGGCCGTGTCAATAGCAGGTGGGAGCTGGGGCCGGGGGGCAGCACTCCTCCAATGCAGTTGGGCACATGGCGAGCAGCAGCTGGCACCACTGGCCTCACACGAGGCCAGGGCCCCAGTTGGCAGCCCAGGGCTGGCGGGAGAGCCCCTCCCCAAGAGCTCACGTGCCAGGCTGGCGAAGGGAGGAGCGCCGCTCCGGTTTGGGGGGACCGAGGCTCAGAGAGACCACGGGGCACGGCCTGGGTGACACAGAGAGACTGTGCCGAAGCCAGGAACCCAGGCAGCCCGAGGGCCATGGCTGCAAGCCCAGCCTCCCTGGAGGCCATGGGAGGGACTCACTATCAGCCCAAGGCAGAGCCAGCCCAGCTTCTCCTGCTATCCACCCCAGCCCCATGAGCCGGCAGGAGGAGAGAAGGGCGTGAGAGCAAAGGGCTCCGTGCCCGTCTGTGTTGCTCTCCATGGCTGGGCACGCACAGGCTCATGTAGCCCTCCGGAGTCTGCCTGCGGCAGGGTGAGGAATGCACCGGCGGGGGGTCCGAGTGCACCCAGCCATGCGCCACACAACTCGGGCCAGCTGGTACCACGGCAGGGTCCACACATGGTCCACATTTACGTGCCAGTGGGGTCCAATCATTGAGCTGCTGATCGGAGCCAGCTGGAGCTAGGGTGGGGGTGGGCCGCGACACTCCCCATGGAATGGGACAGTGTATGGCAGATGGGAGCCAGCTCCTCGGGGAGCCTCCCTGGGTGGGCAGGAGGTGGAGAAGGGGGCTGCATGTGGGAAGAGGTGCAGGGGAGGGGGAGACGGGGCTGTGTTGGGGAAGGGGTACGTGAGGGGGAGGGGAGATGGGGCTGTGCATTTGGGAGCACGTGGTTGACACGCCCAGGCCCAGCCCAGCTTGTGAGGAGCGGGCTGCCAGAGAAGGAGAGACAGCCCAGTGGTTAGGCTGAAAACTGGGACTTGGCAGACCCAGGTTCGAACCCCAAATTGACCACAGACGTGCCCTGATGACCCTGAAGATGTGCCTCAGTTTCCCCTACTGCTGAGTGGGAGCACTAGCCCTGCCCAGCCTGCCAGGGGCTGTGAGGAGAACTCTACTGAAGAGAGCTAGGTGCTCCCATGCCACAGGGAGTGCGGCTCAGTGGGCGTAGCCAAGCCCCAGGCAGGAGCAGCCAGCCGCTGGTGAAGGGGCAGCCAGGGCTGCCGTCCCCTGCACACACCACTGAGGCAGGTGCTGCCAGGGTTCTACCAGCCGTGCAGCCTGAGCCCCACACTGGCCTACAGCCTACCCAGGGGAGTTGGGCACCTCAGGGCCCAAGTGACAAGAACATTAACCTGTGGGTAGAGGGGCAGCAGCAGAGCCGGGCCTGGGGCTGGAATAGCAATGGGGCAGCAGCACGGGGCACCAGCAGAGCTAGGGAGAGCCCAGGGCTGGGATAGGACAGTATGTGTGTCTGTGGCGCTGTGTGAAACCACAGTGGTTTGGGGCTGATAACACCCCTATGCACCCTCCACTGCAATGTGCTCCCTGCCCATGGGTCGGCCCCTGATGCGAGCAATGGGGGGGCTGGGGCGTAGGCCTGCAGGAGGCAGCTTGCTTGGCATAGCTTCCCCTGGACAGTGTTTGCACAGCTGAGCGCCTGGCCCCATGCTGGGCAGGCAAAGCCCTGGAGTGGCTCCTCTTGCCTGCTGTCTGTACCCCTTGCCCTGCATTACTGCATGCTGGCCATAGCCAGTTTGGGCTGAGGGATTGCAGCCCTATTTCTAGGGCCTGGGCCGTGGGGAGCGAGCCCTGCAGCACCCCTGGGCCGGCTTGCAGGTTGAAGCGTGCCAGGTGCAATCCCAGCGCCAGCAGCCCGCTTTGCTCCTCACCAATTTTAAAGCCAGAAGGGCTATCGAGTCTGACCTGCACATCGCAGGCCACAGAACCTCACCTGCCCACTCCTGTAACAGACCCCTAACATCTGGCTGAGTTACGGACATCCCCAAATCTTGATTTAAAGACTTAAAGTTACAGAGAATCCACCATTTACTCAACCCAGCAAGTGACTCTGCCCCACGCTGTCAATCTGACCCAGGGAAAATTCCTTCCCCACCCAAATACAGCAATCAGTCAGACCCTGAGCATGTGGGCAAGACCCAGCAGCCAGACAGCCGGGAAAGAATTCTCTGTAGCGACTCAGAGCCTGCCCCGGTCACTGGGGATATTCGCTCCTTGCCCACCGTTCGGTTCCCCAATTCATCCCCAGCTCCTTCCGTGTGACTAACAGCCCCCCCGGGCGCTGTCTGGCACCTCACTGGTGATCGACCTGCTGTAAAACTGGGCTTTATTTTATCCCGATTGCCCTTCGCCTTCATGGCCTTAGCGAGGCGGCAGAATTGCCCTGCTCCCAGCGTGCCCAGCTGGAGTGCCAGGTGGAGCCAGGTCGTGTCTCCTCCCCAGTGCCTGTGCCAAGGGTGCTGCCAGGGCCATCCCTGGCATGGGCTGTTAGCTTGGCGCTGGAGCCAGCCTCTGCCCCAGAGCTGCTAGGGCTCCCCCATCCCAGGGAGCTTTGCCATGGACGATAAGCCCATGCTGGCACCTGGCACAGTAGCTGCTGCCTTGGTGCACCTGCTCTGGGAAGCATGGGCCAGGCTGGCTCCCAGGGCAACCCCAGGGAAGAGTCTGCCCGCCCCAGGCAGGAGGAAGGAGAGTTATGCCTGGTGTGCCCCTGCACTCGAGCCTTTGGTCCTGGTGTCAGCGTCCCTGTAGCAGCCGGTGTTCCCAGCCCACCTCCCGTGTACCCCGCTGTGCGTGTTTGCGTGCGCGCTTGCCTGCTTCTGGGTGTGGGCACGTCCGCAGCCGTCTGTCTGGGTGCGCACATGCGTCTGCACGTGTGTGCATGTCTGTATGTACATGTGTCTGTGTGGGTATGCGCATGCGTCTGTATGTACGTGTCTGTGTGCCTGTGTGTACGTGTGTCTGTCTGAGCGTGTCTGTGCGCGCCTGCCTGCTTCTGGGCGTGGGCACGTCTGCGGCCGTCTGTCTGCGTGTGTCTGGGTGTGCATAAGAATCTCCTCACCCTCTCTGGCTGGCTCATGCCCTGGCACACTGAACACACCCCTCTGTCCCCCTCCGCCGCCGCAGCCCCTCCAGCCCCGCGCACACCCCTGTCCCCCTCCGTTGCCACAGCCCCTCCAGCCCCGCGCACCACCCCTCTCGTCCCCCTCTGCCGCCGCAGGCCCTCCAGCCCCGCACACACCCCTCTGTCCCCCTGCGCCGCCGCACACCCTCCAGCCCCGCACACACCCCTCTGTCCCCCTGCG